CACCATAACTGAACGTAACACAACTCACAACGCCTTTCCTCTCCTCCCCCCCCCCCCCCTTCACATCTGCCCGTAACACAAACGCATTAAAGCCCAACTCTTACCCGAAGTTGTGATCTTCTTTTCCTTCAGTTTAGCCAACGGGATCCACTTGACGTTCATGGCAGAGACGGCCTTGGTTGACTTCACGTGCCGGATGGTGCAGAAGACTAAGGTGCCGTTGCTGTCCTTGATCGGCTTATGGTGGAACTGACCCAGGTCCTGAATGCCGAGGGTCGTCTGCGGGGGGAAAGAAGGTTTATAAGGGTCGTTTAAGGGAGAAAAAGGGGTTTATAAAGGTCGTCTAAGGGAGAGAGAAGGGTCGTAAGGGTTGTCTAAGGGAGAGAGAAGGTTTATAAGGGTCGTCTAGGGGAGAAAAAGGTTTATAAATGTGGTTTAAGGGAGAAAAAAGGTTAATAAGGATCGTTTAAGGGAGAAAGAAAGTTGATAAGGCTCGTCTAAGGGAGAAAGATTTATAAGGATAACGAAGGGACGATTAACCGTCACACAAACAAACAAACCCCTAACTTTACCTCCCCTCCCCTCCCTTACACACACACAACACCCCTCTTACCCAACACCCTTTTCGCCTCACACCCCACCCTCCCCACCCCACCCCACCCCTCCTACCCTCCACCCACACCCATCCTACACACACATATATCCCGCTTACCTGCATGTTCGCCGCAGCCTGAAGTAACTTAATTCTAAAGGGCACGGTGGAGGCTGACCCTGCTCGCTCCATGTCTTGTCGTAGCGATTTGACATCTTCCCACGTCGTCGCAACCTGGATTAAGGGAGAAAGTGGATTAATGGATGATAAAAAGAGAAATAAAAGAGAAACGATAATAAAAGAGGAAAAAATGGGAAGAGTTTCAATATTTGATAGGCTTGGTTTTATAAGAGGGATAAAAAAATCTGGTTTCATAAGAAGGATTCATGTTTTTTCCTGTAAAGAACAGGAGGATTTCAACATAAGTAGGCCTAGTTTTATAATAATAATGCCAACAACAATAATAATAATATCAACAACAATAATCATAATAACAATACCAGCAACAATAACAATGACAATAACAATACCAACAAAAATAATAATTACAAAACCAACAACAAAAACAAGACGAAACGAAACGAAAAAATAAAAATTATATGTACCTTCAGAAGCCAATGAAAATGGGATCTCGCCTGGCTCATATAATTATCATCGACTTCCACGACCGGAGGAAATTCTTCAGTTGTGACGAGCACTTTGTCCTCGCAGTATATTAAACACGCGAGATAGGAACCTCTGTTAAAGAAATAAAGGCTGAGTGAAGTAATCTTTCGTAGTGGATGCAAAGAGAAGAAAGAGAAAGAAAATAAATTATGGATGAAGGGAGATGTGGATGTAGGGAAGAATTACACATTTATGGTTATTGGTATTTGTTTCCAGGAGAGAAAACACTTAAAGGGAAAAAATGAATCACTTTAAATTTCTAAACTCTAAAACGTATATGAATATAGACACATATGGATATTAAAAAAATACATCCTTAAGGTAATCATTCTCTCTTTTTTCTCAGAAAAGAAAACACAAAATAAAAAAAAAATCCTACCTCTTTAAATTTCTATGGAACTTGGGCGCGGGCGTGAATAGGTTCTTGATGCTCTTCTTCTTCTGCGCCTTCCGGAGGTTGAGGGGCGTCTCCAGACCGGGTTCGATGGCCTTGATTTCGGCGGCGTGTTGCGGGCGCGAGTTGCACACCTGGTTGAAGAGATTGTCCAGGTCCCCGACTTGGCCGTCCAGGCGAGGCTTGCGGGAGTCCACGTCGCGCCAGCCTGGGGGGGAGAGGGGGGAGGAGGGGGAGAGGTCAGTTATTATGTGTGATAATAATAACCTAACGTGGAATGCTTTGTGATTTGTTAATGTGTAAATTGGAGACGTCGCGTCAGCCTAGACGAGGAGAGAGGGGAGGGAAGGGGAGAGGGAGGTCAGTTACTATGTGTTATAATGAATGATCCAGAATGGTTTGTGATTTGTAAATATGTAAATTGGAGACGTCACGCCAGCCTGGAGGGGGGGGAGAGGTCAGTTATTATGTGAAATAATGAATGATCCGGAATGCTTTGTGACTTGTAAATATGTAAATTGGAGGCGTCGCGCCAGCTTGGGGGAGGGGGGGGGGAGAGGGTAGGGGAGAGAGAGAGGTCAGTTATCACGCGTAATGAATGACCCAGAATGGTTTGTGATTTGTAAATATGTAAATATGATCGATACGTTAACCAGTTGCAAATGGTTTGTGATTTGTAATTTGTGAATGAGATCAATTTGTAACCTATTTGTAAAGAGAGATGTCGTCCTAGCCCGAAGGAGAGAGAGAGAGAGAGAGGGGGGGAGAGGTAGTAATCATGCGTATTGATGAACAAACTAGAATGAATATTAGTGGTTTGTAAATTAATTGTAAGGAGACATGAAGGGAGGACGAGGGTAGAGAGAGAGAGAGAGAGGGGGGGGGTGAGGAGAGAGGAAGGAGGGAGGTTTAGTTATCATGTGTATTAGTGAAAAGATCTTGTGAAGATATGTAAATGAATTTTAAAATGGAAACGTAGCGCCGGTGTGGAGGGAGGAAGAAGGGAGAGAGGAAGAGGGAGAGAGAGGAAGAAGGGAGATATAGGAAGGGAAGAGAGAGGAAGAGGGAGAGAGAGGAAGAGGGGAGAGAGAGGAAAAGGAGAGAGAGGAAGAGGAAGAGAAAGGAAAAGAAGAGAGAGGAAGTGGGAGAGGGAGGAAGAGGGGAGAGAGAGGAAAAGGAGAGAGAGAGGAAGAGGAGGAGGAGGAGGATAAGGGAGAAGAAGAACAAGAAAGGAAGAAGAGAGAGAGGGGAGATTGATTATCACGTGTAACAGCGCATGGTTTGGAATGGGTAAACGTTTCCAAATGGGTAATGAGTTAGTCAAGTATGTAGATTTGCAGGGAAATGAATAAACCGAGTAATGGGAAGATAGAAATATAAACGTGTTCTACATCTGTCGCTTAAACTCCTCGACTAATTAACATATTCCCATAAACTCGTACTTAAAATCTCTCTAATATCTTCTTTCAAACACACACACATAATTATATAAACACACACACACACACACACACACACACACACACACATATATATATACTTTAAACATACACATGCATTTTTTTCTAATCAGTTTTCTTTCTTTACTTTTCCCTTGTTTTTGCTTCTCTTTCTTTCTCTTCTCTCCTCTATTTCTCTCTCACCATGTTTCCTTAAATCCTTTCTCCACCCTCCGTACCCACAAAACCCACGCCTCTCCCCCCTCCCTCCCGAACCCTCAAAAAACTCACTCGACGGTATAGCAGAAGGAGGCGTCGTGGGCAGAGGGGGCCCGTAGTCTTTCATATTCCCCGCCAGGACGCGAAAGTGGTGTCTCTGGCCCTGCGCGAGACCGTCGATGAAGGCGGACATGCGGCGTAGGTCGTGGATCTCGAGGCAGCCGGACACGCTCGCCCACTCGTCCACACTCCACTCGACTGCGGGAGAAGAGAGGGAAAAGTGTAAGCATTGGGAGGAGGTGGGGGGCTGGGTGTGTATGTTTCACTCGATTGTATGGGAGAGGGGGGTGTAACGTTGGGGGTGTGTTGCTTTTTACTGCCAAAATAAAATAATAATAATTAATAATAAAAATACGGAACACAGTACCCTTGAACTTTGTATAATAACAATAACAATAATAATAATAATAATAATAACAATAATAACAACAACAACAATAATAATAATAATAATAATAACAATAACAATAATAATAATAATTATAACAATAATAATAACAATAAAAAAAGAAAAGAAAATACAATACCCTTGAATTTTGTAGTAATGGCGAGGTGCTGTGACTCTGGCTCTCTGAAGGTGACTCTTACTCTTGTGCTGTCAATAACCTCGACTGTGGCGGCACTGGGCGCGTTGGGCGGCTCTGGGGAGAGATCGGGAAATTAGAGAGATAATCGCTACGTACATTATTCCCGTCAGAATCAAACATCGAAGGCTACCGTTCAGGAAATATTACAGTTATCGCTTCAACGTCAAAGTCAATTAAAAGAGAGGTTAGAAAGATAATTAAAAGAAATAAAAAGAACATCAATCATCACTTCATTATCAAAGAAAGAAAGAAAAAGGGATAGAAAACAAAAAGACACTTAAAAAAAAAAAACGCCACTCACTCATCTGCTCGAGTCCCATCTTCATGGTCCGTAGCATTTTGACTCGCCTGTCCCATAGCACCCTTTGCCTCTCCGTCTCCCTGCCGTGGGCGCCTCCGGACAGGGCCGAGTTCAGCTCCTCCCGCCGACGCTCCGCCACCGCCACCAGTTCGTTCAGGTGGTGCAGGCGCCGCTCCACGCCTCCTGGGGGAGAGGGATGGGGGAACGGGGGGTTAGAACATCGTCAGGAGGGGAGGGGTGGTTGTGTGTGCGTGTGTGTTTGTGTGTGTGAGAAAGATAGAAAGAAAGAAAGAAAGAGAGAGAGAGAGAAAGAGAGAGAGGGAGAGAGAGAGAGATAAAGAGAGAGAGAGAGAAAGTGGGGAAAAAAGAGAGAGAGAAAGTGGGGAAAAAAGAGAGAGGAAGACAAAGAAAAACGGAAAGAAACAAGAGACAGACACAGGATAAACAATTTGTATGTCTATGTGCACAATGCAAGCATCTCCAAAAGGCTCAACAGCCACCAGCCGCGACGGAACTAAGGCAAGAAGACATGCAAAGAACAACTATAAGGGTCGATTTAATTTTCCTTTTTAGCTTACTTACAGCACGTGCCCCTTGTGTCTCTGCCCGTGAGCGTGTGTTCGTGAGCGTGTGAGTGCACACCCACGGACATGTGTGAACCTACTGAGTCATGTGGTTTATCGGCGTGATTTTCTCATTCATAAAACTAAATAGAGTAAGTAAAATGCGTTTAAGTAGAAAATCTAATTCTAATCTAAGTAAATATACATACTTAAGCATCACTACATATGTATATATATATACATATATATATATATATATATATATATATATATATATATATATATATATATATATATGTATATATATATATTTGTGTGTGTATGTATATGTATATATATACACACACATATGTATATACATATCATAGAGACAGCTTTAATACAGGCATATATACACACGTCAATATAATTATTGGCATTAAAGGATATTGCCCGTATGCATAACCATGGTCCCAACCAGATGTCCCAGATAGCAACAGCTGTGAAATTGTAAAAAAAAAAGCGGGTTTGAACTAAAAACGCCTTTGAACGACAAAATATAACTTCAATACAAACGTGCCAACACTAAATTTGAAACCCAACTTAATAATAAAAAAAAAGAAGCTATATCGATTACGGGGAATGTTACGTTCAAAAACTAATAATAAGATTGAATTATAAACAGACTGACTGATGACTTCAACAAGTGTCCTCCCTAATGGAATAACAAGACCACACCTGGTTTAGCGGTGCACGTGTTGTGCCATGTGTTTTGGAATATTTGTTTTTATACATCTTGTGGTTCATTCGGGAGCCAAAGAAGCGAGAGGTGGAGGGAGGAAGGGTGAGAGAGAGAGAAAGAGAGAGAAAGAGAGAGAAAGAGAGAGAAAGAGAGAGAAAGAGAGAAAGAGAGAGAGAGAGAGAGAGAGAGAGAGAGAGAGAGAGAGAGAGAGAGAGAGAGAGGGAGGGAGAGAGAGAGAGAGAGAGAGAGAGAGAGAGAGAGAGAGAGAGAGAGAGAGAGAGAGAAAGAGACAAAGAGAGAGACAGAGAGAAAGAAAGTAAGATAGAAAGCAAGAGAATTAGACAGAAAGAGACAAGAAAATCGATCAAGTGAGAGAAAGACGTGAAGATAAACATCATTAAAAAAAAAAAAAAAAACATAACAACATGGAAAATAAAGAGTGAAAGAGTGGAAAAAAGGGTGGATTTTCAAAAGGTACACTAAACCTGAGGGATGGAGCATGGATACATCTGGCCTGTAGGAAGAGAGCAGAGTACTCCGCAGCTGGCGGGTGAAGGGCAGATAGACTGACCCTGAAAGGCGAAGAAGGGAGGAATAGACACACGACACGGAGGAGGAGGAAGAGGAGGAGGAGGAAGAAGAGGAGGAGGAGGTAGAGGAAGAGGGGGAAGAGGGGAAAGAGGGGGAAGAGGGGGAAGAGGGGGAGGGGGAGGAGGAGGAGGAGGAGGAGGAGGAGGAGGAGGAGGGGGAGGGGGAGGGGGAGGAGGGGGAGGTGGTGGAGGAGGAGGAGGTGGAGGAAGAAGAGGAGGAGGGGGAGGGGGAGGGGGAGGTGGAGGGGAAGGTGGAGGGGAGGGGGGGGAGGAGGAGGAGGTGGAGAAAGAAGAGGAGGAGGGGGAGGGGGAGGGGGAGGGGGGAGGGGGAGGAAGAGGGGGAGGGGGAGGAGGAGGGGGAGGTGGAGGTGGAGGGAGGAGGAGGAGGAGGAGGAAGAGGAAAAAATAAAAGGAAGGATGAAGAAGGAAAATAATTGGAATTGGATGAAAAAGTCGAAAAATAAAAGAAATCTAAAAAAAAAGGAAAAAAAGAAAATGGATGAAACGGGAAAATATAAGGAGGAAGAGGAAAAGAAGGAAAATAAAAAAGTTGATAAAAATGAAAACAAGAAGATAAAAAAAAGGAAAATAAAAGACGTGAATAAAAAAGAAGTAAAATTGAAGAAGGCGAACGAACGTGAAAAAAAATATTACTGGATAATAAAACAATTGAAAGCAAAAGAGAAATGATAAAAAAGTAAAACAAAAGTTCTGAATGACAAAAAACGGAAATGAAAAAGAGGAAAACCATGGGACACAATAATAATAATAATAATAATAATAATAATAATAATAATAATAATAATAATAATAATAATAATAATAATAATAATAATAATAATAACAACAACAACAACACCAATAATAATAATAATAAAAATAACGAAACATTAAGTATAACCAGACTGATGACACCAAAATGAAAACAAAAACAAAACGAATCACAAGAATAAAAACAAACAAGAAACAGATAAATAACAGAATGACTAGAGAAAGGACGAAAGGATATCCACTCGATGACCTGCAGAATCGTAATAGATAAAGGGCGATGGAAAATGTCTATTTGACCTGAGGAATCATTATAAAAAATAAAGGAGTTAGAGAGAAAACGATATTGATTTTCGCTGAAGATTTAAAAAAATAAAGATTAATATGTGGTAATATAATAAACAATGATAATGATGATGATAATAATAATGATATCAGTAATAATGATAATAATAATGATATCAGTAATAATGATAATAATAATATTAGTAATAATGATAATAAAAACCATCTTATTAATAATAACCATAACAGTAATAAACCAAAATCATAATAAGAATAGTCATGATAATAATTAGAATATAATTATAATAATGACAATAATAATAACAATAACACCACCAGCAACAAAAACAACAAAAACAACAACAACAACAGACAGTCATCATCATCATCATAATAACAATAACAAAAATGATAATAATAATAATAAATAAAAATGAAAAAAAAACACCGCCTCGTGTCATAGGATGTGGTCGCCGCACCTGCTAAGATAAGAAAAACATTGAAAATAAGAAGAAAGTAAAGAATAAGAATACGAATAAGATAGGGAATAAGAATATAAAGAAAGAGTAAAAGAATGAATAAGAATACGAATGAGGAGAAGAACATGAAGAAATAAACAAAACAAAAAGAAGAATGAGAATTAAAAAGAAAAAAATGAAAATAAAGAAAAACGAAAGAAGAATAATAACAAGAATAAGGAACAGTAACAAGACCAATAAGAAAATATAAGAACAAGAATAAAGAATAAAGCATAAGAATAATTATATAAAAACATTGGACGCAAGAGAAGCGCGTACGAACGCACGCACGAGAGACGCTCATTTGATCGCCACATGACCGAGCGCATGATAAGGGAAAACGGGCTTTTTATGGCGTTCGTTCGCGTTTTGTGTGACTGGGATAATGGGCGATAAATGAGAGGATAAGGAATAGGGAGATAATATGGAGAGAGGGATGAAGAAGTAATGTGTGAATAAACCGATAAATTGGTAGAGAAGTACACGCACAAGCAAACTCGCGCACACACACACAAAATCGCATACGCACACGCACGCGCGCGCGCACACACACACACACACACACACACACATACACACACACACACACACTCAAACACACACGCGCGCCACACACACACGCACACACACACACACACCAACCACACACACACACCACACTCAAACACACACACCACACTCAAACACACGCACACACCACTCAAACACACACAGAAACGCATACGCCACGCACGCACGCACACACGAACACATTAAGGAGAACTCTTATTATAGCTTCCGTTCCAAATTACATAACCTTTTCTCTCTTCGAAAAATAAAAATTACACTTTCAAACAGATAAATAACAGAATGACTAGAGAAAGGACGAAAGGATATCTATTCGATGACCTGCAGAATCGTAATAGATAAAGGGCGATGAAAAATGTCTATTGGACCTGAGGAATCATGATAAAAATAAAGGAGTTAGAGAGAAAACGATATTGATTTTCGCTGAAGATTTAAAAAAATAAAGATTAATATGTGGTAATATAATAAACAATGATAATGATGATGATAATAATAATGATATCAGTAATAATGATAATAATAATGATATCAGTAATAATGATAATAATAATATTAGTAATAATGATAATAAAAACCATCTTATTAATAATAACCATAACAGTAATAAACCAAAATCATAATAAGAATAGTCATGATAATAATTAGAATATAATTATAATAATGACAATAATAATAACAATAACACCACCAGCAACAAAAACAACAAAAACAACAACAACAACAGACAGTCATCATCATCATCATAATAACAATAACAAAAATGATAATAATAATAATAAATAAAAATGAAAAAAAACACCGCCTCGTGTCATAGGATGTGGTCGCCGCACCTGCTAAGATAAGAAAAACATTGAAAATAAGAAGAAAGTAAAGAATAAGAATACGAATAAGATAGGGAATAAGAATATAAAGAAAGAGTAAAAGAATGAATAAGAATACGAATGAGGAGAAGAACAAGAAGAAATAAACAAAACAAAAAGAAGAATGAGAATTAAAAAGAAAAAATGAGAATAAAGAAAAACGAAAGAAGAATAAGAACAAGAATAAGGAACAGTAACAAGACCAAAAAGAAAATATAAGAACAAGAATAAAGAATAAAGCATAAGAATAATTATATAAAAACATTGGACGCAAGAGAAGCGCGTACGAACGCACGCACGAGAGACGCTCA